GCAGCGCTGGGAGGGTCAAGCCGGAGGGGCTCGAGTCGAATTTCTTGCAGCTTAGCTCCTGTCTTGCCGTATAAACCGCGTCGGTGTGTGTCCGCAACAGGGTGTTTGGCAGCCAGTTTGGAAGTTTTTAAGCGATGGAGAATAGATGGTCTCTGAAACGTTGATTTTCCAAAACGAAAAAAACGGTAGCCCGCTGTGGAATAAACAAATAAAGGAAACATATCTGAACCAAGTCTGGGCTTTAGGACCTTCTTCACTTTGGAAACACAAGAAGGGCGGGAACGTAGCTGGAAAGTGCAGAACTGCTGGTCTTGTAGTAACTTTTCTTTACCGAAGGACTGATGGTCCTAGGATACAAATACTTGTATTTTTCAGTCTTTACAGACGTTGCACTTCTTGCCTGCACCTCATGCACCTATTAACAGCACTGCAGTGCAAAAGAGGATGGTGTTCAGATTTTTGCTGAATGTGTTCTTCACTACTTGGTTTGCTGTTCAACATATAATTGAATAGAATGAAAATACAGCGTTCTCATGATTAAAATTCAAAGGAAGGGGAAAGGGAAGTTAAATAATTAACTTTAATTAACTTTTTAACTTTAGATATAAGTGGCTTGTTTTATTATGTTTTAAAGAACATGAGAGCTTGGTATCACTGAAAAAAATCACTACCATAAAAACCTCCACCAAAGGCAGAATATTGTAAATAAACTCTGACAGTAACATGTAATAAAGGTGCTTGGTTTGTACTTTGATATGGAAGAAGGCAAACTTACTCCTCAGATGACTATGGATGTTGGACTTGATGGTACCTAGTACTCTGGATCATACAGCATAAAGGCTAAATAGCTCTTGATTTAAATGTAGAGTATAAAGAGTTAATGCAGGTATCTGTCTAATTTTGCCTAGTCTCTGTAGTACACGTCCTCTGTTCTCTTACCAAAAAAATGGGATCTTTGACATTCTTAGCCCATTACACTTAACTACATAGTTTTATGTATGTTTGTGTGTTTGGCCATGTTAATTTTGCTTCACCTCAACAAGCATAAAGAGGTCAAGCTGGCAAATATTACATCTGGAACAACTTCTGAATGTTGTTAATGCAACATATAAAATATATTTCATATGTATTTCAGAGATATTTTTTTTTGTCTATTGCTAGTTCAAGAAATGCAATCTCTACAAAATAGAATGCCACTCCACCATAATTTTATCAGCAGTGTTCAATGTCCTTTCCTCCTATAGTGGCATGTTTTGGAAATTATCTTACTTGGAATTTATGCTATTTGTTATGTCCCAACCACCCTCTTTTGGGGTTTTGTAATTAAATTAGATTAATCTGCTATGCCATAGTTGTTATCTGCTCTTCACTCTTCAAAAAGTTTTCTTCATTTTTTGAATACTATGGGCCATATCTGTGCTTTAGAGCAATTTTGTGACATTTTGCAAAGCCAGGCAATCTGTGTAATATAGGAGGGAAATTGTTCTGTGGTGATGCTTAGGCACTGGAGATGTTGCGTTTGTCAGTGAATTGTTCATTGAGCTGTTACATCTTGCTTTTCAGCAGAACTAGCTGAAAATTTGTGTAGCCATGTTCTTAAAGTTAGATTTGCTGGTACTTGCTTGTGAGTTGAGGCACCACACTGCATGGCATTTTGAGGTTTTTTTGAGGTGTTTTGGATTCTTTAAAACTTGATTTTAATACCTGTAATCATCTTTCCCCTCTTTTATAGGAACTTCTCTGTTCTTCGCACACTAAGGGCTCTTGTGGAGAAGCTATTCTCAGGTGCTCTTGTATAATGGAATATAAATATGTAAAGAGTACCTGTTGTCTCTGCTATGGAGGAAACCTGGCCTGTTTCTGACCCTGAATGGTGACAGATCCACACAAAGGCATCCTTGAATACAGCAGTTTCATAAGATCAGGAGGAGTTCTCAGTTTCAATGTGTTATTAGGGACAAAATATGTTAGGGAGACTTCCTCCATTTTTTATTTTTTTTTCACTTTCATTGGTCTAAATTGGGAAGATGACGACTTTGGAAAATGATCATATTTAATTATTCAGTTTTCTGAATAATTTAAATGACCTTATTGGAGGTAATACGAGGTTAGTTATAATCTGAATGATGAAATAAATTTCTTTGTTGTTTTGTTTGTTTTTCAAAAATGGGATTTTGAGAAATAAGCTTTAGGAAATGCTTTGGTAATTTGAAGTTATACTACTCTGAGTTAATCTTCTTATGGAGGCAAGTTTGCAGTTGGGAGTATCTGTCTACATCTTGGCTTCTCTGATATGAATCCAGCTGGGTTATTTTAGCTTAAGCTGCTGATCAGAATGGGAGCTAAGATGATATAAGCCTATGAGCTGACATGCTTGTGCACATTCCTTCACAAGGGTTGCAGTAATCTCTGGGGGAGAGACTGGTATGTCATGAACCACCATCCCCTGTCCCATGATGTATGCACAGATATTCCCCTGTTCCATACCACCGCCATGCCCCTTCCCCAAATAAGATGTTGATGATTAGAGCCCCATCTCTGGAAGTGGTGACTCACAGGGAAGTGGCCTGTTGAATGCTTAGGCCCACCTGGGTTGTGTCATTGCCACACACCTCTGGTTCGTCTCAAGGCTCATCCTTCTTTGGTTCAAGTGATTCCTGCTGTACTGGTCCTATAGAAGAACTGAAATAATGGGTTGTTGTTCCCCAAGTTCAAGTCTTCTTGAGATACACTCTGGATTTCCCCATCCTTCCACATTACCCACTGAGTGCGCTGGGGTTCTTTAGCAAAGGTAATCCCCATGAATGGCTTTGCCTTTTCCAAGGGAGGAGCAACCCACACTGCCTTTTCTAGCCAATAACAAATGCTGGACTTTAATATGCAGCCAAGTGAGCAAGCAAGCTTGGTGACCAGCACAGTACCCTGCCAGTTAACAACTCTAGTGTGCTCACATCAAAGCTGTTTTATCTTGAGCTCCATGTTGGGCACCAGCAACTGTGGTGGGTTGACCCTGTCCAACAGCTAAAGGTGCACCCAGTGACTTTGCTGGATGGGGAGAAGATAGAAGGAAGGTGAGAAGACTTGTGGATAGAGATAATGATAGTTTAATGGAAAAAGCAAAAGCTGCATGCTCAAGCAGAGCAAAAAGAGGAATTCCATCTCTTATTTCCTATCAGTGGGAAGATATTCACCCATTTTTCTGGAAAGCAGAGCTTCAGCATGCTTAACGGCTGCTTGGGAAGACAAATGCAATAACCATGGACACCTTCCCTTCCTCCTCTTTTTCTTGAGCTATTTTTTTGCAGAGGATGACATTATATGGTATGGAATACCCCTCCCATCAGTTGAGACCACCTGTCCTGGCTGTGTCTGCTCCCAACTTCTTGCCCACCCCAGCCTACTGACCAGGGGAGAGAGGGACAGGACACAGTGGGAAAGAGAGAAAGCCTTCATGTGGTGCAAGCACTGTCTAGCAATAGCTAAAATATTAATGTGTTGTCAGCAGTGTTTTAGCAAAAAAATACAAAGCACAGCACTATACAGGCTACTGTGAAGAAAAAAAAAAAAAAAAAAGCAGCCAGACCCAGTACATCATCTTACTAGGGAGGTTGTGGACTTGATTTCTTCAAGATAACTTGCCCAAAGCTTGCTGCTGAAAGGCCTTTACCTGGACAAGTACTGTTGCTTGCTGTAGGATTGTTATAGCTGAATAACCAAGAGGGTTCTACAGCTTTTGCCTCTGCATGGTTTGAGTAGGCTTTACTGTTTCAAAGCTATGTGTGCATGCAAAGAAAAAACACATGCACATGATCACAGTCATTCTCCATTGTTTGCTCTACAGAACGACATCAGAAAGCAGAGTATTCTCTGTTTCTTTCTCCTGCTTGAATAGTAGAAAGTGGGATTGTAAAATGATGGAAATACTTGATACTTTAATTTAGTGACAATTATTGGATATTAAGTTGCCACCTGATCAAAGTACTCACTAGGGAACCCAGTTTCCTAGTTGTGGGATCTTTCTGTATAAAATAACTTGAAAGTTAAATGAATATACTTAACAGGTAGGACATTATTTGTTGCTTTTCATGTCTTAGCCTGTTACGTTCTTACAAGCCTTACTCTTGCTTGAAATTGGAGTTATACTCTGTCGGTCAGCAGAGCTGTGGGATGTGTTAGTGGTGCAAGCACAAGGAATTGCATAGCTTGATGTGTCTTACTGCTCTAACTTGCAGGTTTCCCTGTGTGCAGTGGTGTTGCATTATTATTTTGTATGAGTACAGTGTTGTTGCTGCCCAACAAATGGGCAGGTGAAGTGTGAGAGGATGCAAAGGTGAAAGACAAAATGTGACCATCATGGGGCTGATTGAATTTGGCACACTGAGTAGACAGGCTGCTGCTAAAGAAATGGCTTGGCTTGCCTTGGTTATACATAGGAGCTAACTACGTGTTTCTTCTTCTGTGTGTTGTTTTGTTTTTTTTTCTTGCCAACAGTGACAAGGTAACATCTGGGCCTCTGCAGTCCTTCTCCAAGTCATCTTGGGTTTTTCTGGCCTGTCCACATTGTTTTGTAGCTTTCATGGCTCTGGATGGCTAATGAAGAGGCATGTTCAGTCTAATGGCCAATTGCTGCAGCTGGTTAAAACGGTGGCAGGAACCTGTCAGGTAAACTTGTGAAAGTATTTTACATTTCTGTGCTCACCTCCCCAAACGGTATTTCATGTTGTCTCACCTATGTTTTACTTTATTTGCTATATAATATTCTTTTGTATTTTTCAATTCCAGGACAAAATCCTTTTTTTTTTTTTTTTTTTTCCTCCAAGAGAGAATCAATACATCTTCTGAACTTAAAAATGAAATTTCAGTCATGTCTAATTTGGATATTTTATTTCTGACTGAAAAGTATAAAGTTCAAAATACTGACCTTTGCATACTGTTTCCTCAAGTTGAGCATTATGGGTTGAATCTATAAAGTTTTTTAAAGTTTGTGGGTCTTTTTCTTAATTATATAGTTCCTGCATGTTGAGATTCTGAAGTGCAATGTGTCAAAACACCTTGTTAAGAGTAGATTATAGCTCCAGTGTAATTCTGGTTTTCTTACTATTACCTAATTATCTTAGTACTGCATTTTGTGGGTAGCCTGGTGATCTATTCTTGCTGATGGAATGCTGCTGTTCTCATTTGTTTCTGTTACTTTAATTTTGACATCCTGTATCCATTTCCCTCCAATTAGCCTCTGCTAATTGCACAATTAGTGCATTGTTTCTTTAAACTATTCACAGACTATGGAGGAGGGAAGTAAGGGGCAAACCACATCAATTTACGTTTCACACTCATGTAGGAGGATTTGCTCTTTTCTTTGGTGCTAGGCAGTTTAGGCTTTACAGAAGGGGCTGCTGTTTAAAGAACTATATTGGATTTAATAAGCTTTCTGACACTATCAAGTTATTATAGAAATTTGTGGGTTCATAAATATTTGTGGCTGTTCTGATTTTAGCTTACTGTTAAAGTACTCCTGTCTTCCTACTGTTCACTTTTAGTTTCTTTTCACAGAGCTTTTCGGTCTTCCAAAAGAATATGCCTAAATTATACTTTATGTATGATGCTATTATAGCTTTAAGACAGGAAATAACAAGATTTTTAGTATGCTTTCACTTAAAGGGGCATGAAATTGGGCAAATTCCTGTGACATCTCTGAGCATTTTTTAATAGGAGCAACTGAGGTATGCACACACATGTTTTTCCAGTTTCTTTGCTTAAAATCCTCTCCTGGTATAAATTCTAAACTGTACATCAGTTTGGTAATATATTGTACATACTCATACACTGGTATGTATGTTTGCAGCCTAGATATCTCCTGCTTGAAACAGGCACGAGTACCTCTTATTTACAGCACCTGGTGTTGTCTGTGCAAGTGTTGTATGGTGTATAGTGGTTGTTCAGATGCACTGGTTGAGAGAGAAATATATTTCTATTATAGGCACAACTTCAAGGCAGAGAGAGGGTAAAAATGCAGGGAAATGGAAATGAAATTACAGAAGTTGTTAAGGATACTGTGACCACACCAAAAAAGGGTAAAATTTACAGTACAGTGAAATCAAATTTCAGCAGGTAGATACAAATTGAAAGCAAAATCCTTGTTTCATGTAGAACTTGCAGCACAATATTAGACTTCTCATTTCATACCTCGTTCTACTGTTCTGCCTGTCAGATGGTTTAATATACTGAACACCAGATACACAATTGTAACAATGGCTGCTACTCAGTATTTTGATGCCTATTGTTTCTCCTACTTTGTGGTAAATATGTTATGCAGGTATTAGCTAGCTACAGGAAAAATATTTAAAATATTTAATTTTTTTCTTCTTCTCCTTATGGAGGAAGGTGACACTAATAATGGTGGGACTTGATAATGCTGGTAAAACTGCTACAGTCCGAGGAATTCAAGGAGGTAAGCAATTATCATCTAAATGGAGCATTGAAAGACAGTATAATTACTAATTTCCAACATTTTCAACTTAAAATATTGCTTCATCTCTTAATTTATTTCTCAATTCTATATTGTTGAGAGTAAAATTTGTGGATTGTGCTCTCCTCTAAGAGTGTGGTTGCCAAAGCAAGCATGTCACAGGCCCCATCGTGTGAATACCTGCAGATGAGAGAAAAGTTAAGGGATCTTACCTTTGAAACATAAAGATCTGGATTTTTGATATCTAGCAAGTCATGCTAGGGTCACTTAAAAAGTTGGTGTCCCCAGTCATATACATCATACTTCAGAGAAGTAGCAGAGCAAGCTCCACATTTGCTCATTGGCCTCTGCGCTTATCGTGCTGAGCTAACATAGACCGAATCAGAGGCAGTTCAAAAGAAGTTGCTACCATTTTGCTACATCTTTTTCAAAGGTAATAAATAGTAAGGTGTAGAGGCAAGGGAGACAGTATGGAGAGGGCTGCGTCTTAAGACATTGCACCATGCAGCATTAGAGCCCTTAGTCCACTGAGACTGAGAAAGTTGCTCCATGGAGGTGTTTGGAAATGTTCAACATACCTTGCTGCTTATGTGTCTTGAGCTTACCATGGTATTGTTAACTGTGCAAAATGCAAAATTGCAACAGAATCTTTTCTGGGCTCTTGTGCTGTAATGCTCATAAAATTTAAACATTTTTGGACTAGAGGAAGGTTTTTCCAGTAGTTCAATAAACAGCTGAAGGAGCATTGTAACTGCATGCAAGCCATCTGTCTCCATCAGTTGCTTTAAGTGAAAGGAAGTATAGGATAAAACCTCTGAAGGCCAATTATGGCTTATATGGCAGACCCTGTTTTTACGGTGACTGTTTATTATTGGAAGCCTTATCATACAATGGGAACAGATGCTTCAGGAATAAACCCTCACATTCAGCACCATCAATAACTTTCAGCCTTAATTCTCATATTCACATTGCTTGCTCTTACAAGAGCACATACTTACAGCTCACAGTGCAAAGCATTATTCAAAATAAAGTCTGCTAAGTTTTGAAGCTATAGTTTTTCACAAATGGAGGCCCAAGATCCTTCTCTTGCTGAAGTCTTGGCTTACGCTCTTCCAGCCAAGAAGTCTGTTCTGAATCCCCATTTCATCTGCGTGTGAAGGATTCTCTCAGAAAAGGAACATGGTAGGTGCTGCTCTTCAGAGCTCAGTGCTTTTACCAGTACCTTCATTTCTTCCTCTCAATAAGCTGAACTTTATATCTGTCTCTCTTGCCTCATGCTACCAGGCTACATAAAACAATTGCAGAGATCCACTTAATGCATCCCTGCAGAGGCACTAGGTGGTGTGAGACAAGTACAGGCTTCCTTTGCCTTTTGGAAAGGAAGGCAGCAAGGAAGTGTTAAATACAAAACTGTAGGATTTTTTTTTACCATATTGAATGGCAAAATAAAAACCAGAAAATAAAAATAAGCAAAGGCCAAAAACTGATAATGAATAATGGGAATCAAATCGTGACATCTAAGAAGAAAGAGGTTTCAATCAATTAATCTCAGCCCTTGGTTTGAACTCTTGAAGCTGTTTTGGCAACTGTGAGGGATAAAGAATAAATGTGGCAGAGCACAATGCTTCCAAGATCATAATACATTAACTGTTTTGTTTGGTTTTGTTCCCAAAATTGGATTAATACCATGCAAATACTATATACCTGTTCAGATGGAGCATTGGTGGTGTGGGGGAAAATAAATACTGCAGTACACAGAAAGCCACTGCAGTTTGCTGTGTTGTTAAATATTAAAAATTGCTTCTTTTTTTTTTTTTTCCCAGCTGCTCCTATATCAATTAGTCTGAAGTAACTGATTGGGAGACTAATGCATTACTTTGAAAGTACCTAAGGAGAGGAAAAGTTGTAATGTAAAAAAGACATGGTTAGCAATGTGCTGTCTCATAACAAGGGGGGCTTTGCTCCATGTTTTTAAAATACTAATTTTGCTACACAGATCACAATGTAAAATCCTCTTTAAATAACTGAGAACACTTTTTACTGAAGGCTTTCTTCTTTGAACTCTGACAGAGTCTCCTGAAGACGTGGCTCCAACAGTTGGGTTTTCCAAGATTGACCTTAAACAGGGACGCTTTGAAGTCACCATCTTTGATTTAGGAGGTGGAAAAAGAATTCGAAGTATCTGGAAAAATTACTATGCTGAGTCCTATGGTGTAATATTTGTTGTGGATTCCAGTGATATTGCAAGAATGGAAGAAACAAAGCAAGCCATGATAGAAGTTTTAAACAACCCTAAGATAACAGGAAAACCTGTGTTAGTGTAAGTAATGTTAATAAATGTTCTAGTAGTCTGAAATTTTGACCTTCAATACACATTCTAAAGAAGTATTTAAGCATAGTGTAAGCATGAATATAGAGGATACTAATACTTGGGCAGCTTGAGCACTAACCAGTATTACCATCAGTTTTACAGCATTTCTGGAATACTTATTTATGCCAATCTAAGTATCATACTAGTGAACAAAGCCTTTCTCTTTATTTCCTTATTCCATCCTTTCCCTCATGAGTTGTATATGGTGATATACTGATTCCATTAATTAGATCTTACTTAGTCCTCCTCATGGATATTTATTTGTCTTCTCTTTCAATAACAGTGGAAAAATAATGATGTTTTGGGTTTTTTTAACTCTTTAAAATTCTGATATTACTCAAGCTGATATGATAAGTTAAAGGTTTTTTCAAGTTTGAGATGGCAACATGGTGTAAAAATATTGTTAGTATTTAGACCTGCATCAATTACTCTAAATTATGAATTATTTATTATATTTTGCAATAGCAGTAATCTTGCAGCAATAGACGTCTTGTTCACTTAACACATGGTGGTGCTACTGATACATGATCAGTAAAATCTCATTAAAGAAGGCTTACTTTAATAGCATTTGGTATGTGCTTTTGTTTTAGTGCATGTGTTTTAATTAATAAAATAAGTAGTTAAAGTTTCAAAAGGTCTAGAGACATTCTTTCACAGAACTGCTAGATTAATGAACTTCTTTGCTGAAAAACTAGGTTGTGTAAAATAGCATTTTATATATATTGAAAATAATATGTTTTATTTAATTTAGCCAAACAAAAAGATCTGTGAGGGCAGATAACCTTTTGAAATTACAAGATAAGCCATGGAAGTTTAAAATGTTCTTTTCAGGACCATATTTTTATGTCTGGTGAACATAAAGCCTCCATAATCATAGAGTCATGAAAGGGTTAGAAGGAACTTTAAAGATTATGTAGTTCCAGCCCCTGGCCATATGTTCCACTAGCCCAGGTTGCTCAAAGCCCCATCCAATATGGCCTTGAACACTTCCAATAACAGGCAATCAACAGCTTCTCTGGGAAACTTGTTCCAGCCTCTCACGCTTGTCCTATCACTACACACCCTTGTAAAAAGTCCCTCACCAGCTTTTCTATAGCCCCTTCAGGTACTGGAAAGCTGCTATAAGATCTCCTTGGACCTTTCTCCAGGCTAAACAGCCCCAACGCTCTCAGCCTGTCTTCATGGGAGAGGTGCTCCAGCCCTTTGGTCATCTTTGTGACCCTCCTCTGGATGTGCTCCAGCAACTCCCATGTCCTTCCTGTGTTGAGGACCCCAGAACTGGACACAGTACTCCAGATGACATCTCACAAGAGCAGAGTAGAGGGGGAGAATCGCCTCCCTTGATCTGCTGGCCATGCTTCTTTTGATGCAGCCCAGGATATCATTGGCTTTCTGGGTTGCAAACACACATTGTCAGTTCTTGTTGAGTTTTTCATCAACCAACACCCCCAAGTCCTTTTCCTTAGGGCTGTTCTCAATCCATTCCCCATCCAGCCTGTATTTGTGCTTGGGTAATGCAGTAATTGCACAACATTTCTGTGATATCATATGTATAATGAGTAGTGATGCTCTGGTGGTTTCAGGGTGAAACTAGTTAATCTGTTTTGATCAAGTGGAGTGTAGTTCAGCAAGTGGGTATGTTGAAAAATAGGTTAGATTTTAACTGCTATCTGAATGTTAGTAGTACGGGGAAGGCAATAAAACCAACATAATGCAGCTAGTTTAACTTAAATTTATTCTGAAAATGCAACTGTGATGGTTGACAATTGTGAAGTGTTTCTAAGTAAGTGCAATTTTATTTTATTTTCATACAAATCTCTATGTCCTAATCCCATAATAGAATTTGTGTGGCTGCTGTACCTGCTGAGAGCCCATTCACTTCCTTGGGATTTTTTCCTCCTTCTCAGTCTATGTCTGATGGACTAAATTAAGGTTGTTGATGTTACTGCCTTCTAATTGGTTGAGCCTCAAGCTGTTAAACAGAATTTTTTCTTGCTGTATCTCAGTTCTTTGAGGGGATCCAGTAGTTCTTTGTTTTATGCTCCTGTACAAGTCTGCATCTTGAGAAGATGCATCTTTCATCTTATGAATTCTTTCCTATATGGCCTTTGTTTTTAATTTGGTGTCTGTGTTCATGGCATATTCAAATCATGTAAACCCTAGAATTTGTTCCAATGTTTGAACACTAAACTGGGAGGAGTGGCTGACACACCAGAAGGCTGTGCTGCCATTGAACAAGACCTAGACAGGCTGGAGAGTTGGGCAGGGAGAAACCTGATGAAGTTCAACAAGAGCAAGTGTAGAGTTTTGCATCTGGGGAAGAAAAACACCATGTACCAGTACAGGTTGGGAGCTGACCTGCTGGAGAGCGGTGTAGGTGAAAGGGACCTGGGGGTCCTGGTAGACAGGAGGATGACCATGAGCCAGCAATGTGCCCTTGTGGCTAAGAAGGCCAATGGCATCCTGGGGTGCATTAGAAAGGGTGTGGTTAGTAGGTCGAGAGAGGTTCTCCTCCCCTTCTATTCTGTCTTGGTGAGGCCGCATCTGGAATATTATGTCCAGTTCTGGGCCCCTCAGTTCCAGAAGGACAGGGAACTGCTTGAAAGAGTCCAGCGCAGAGCCACAAAGATGATGGAGTAGAACATCTCCCTTATGAGGAAAGGCTGAGGGAGCTGGGTCTCTTTAGCTTGGAGAACAGGAGACTGAAGGGTGACTTCATCAATGTTTACATATATGTAAAGGGTGAGTGCCAGGAAGATGGAGTTAAGCTTTTTTTCAGTGATGACCAGTGACAGGACAAGGGGCAGTGGGTGCCAACTGGAGCATAGTAGGTTCCATGTGAATATCAGAAAAAAACTTCTTTACTGTAAGAGTGACAGAGCACTGGAACAGGCTGTCCAGAGAGGTTGTGGAGTCTCCTTCACTGGAGACATTCAAAACCTGCCTGGACACATTCCTGTGTGATGTGCTCTAGGTGACCCTGCTCTAGCAGGGGGGTTGGACTAGATGATCTTTCGAGGTCCCTTCCAACCCCTAGGATTGTGTGATTCTGTGAAACACTTTTCATACTGTGAAGCCTGCAAGATGTGAAGCAGGAAGTCTTGGGCCCTAAGCACTAGTTTTTGTGGCATGGAAGTGGAGTGTTTTGAATTCTAGTTTTTCCCAGTAAATAAGCTGTTTCTGTTCTTTCTTTTAATAACAGAACATTTCTCCAGAACATTTTTCCTATTTTGTTTTACATCTGCCAAAACAAGCAACAGTCCTTTCTGAGAAGTCCTGAGGATAAATGTCAATTTATGTCACTGCATGTCTTCTTAGATGTCTTTGTTTGCAATCAACTTCATACTGCAAGAAGTGCCAGCAAGATACCACTGTGAAGTATCACAGGTGGTTGGATATCATTTCACAGTTAAGAACAGGATCCATTAAGGAAGAGTTTGAGATGCAATCTTCATTACAGAGCAAAGCAGATTTGAAATCACTGGCCCACTCTTCCTTTTGCAGTATTTTCTTGCATCCTCATCTATTGTATTATGGTGCACCCTAATCCAATAGTATCCCTATGCATGTGGCAGCTCTGTTTTTTGCCAGGAATAAGACACTCTGCTAACAAAAGAAAAGAGCAAGACAACTTGCTTCTCATCCTCCCAGATAAAGGAATGAATAGTGAGCCTGAGCACTATTTGAGGGGAAGCGGAGGCCCAATAGTCTGGCAAGAGATTAGGCTGAATTATGCAATGGGAGCATAAAACTGGTACAAGATACTATTGCAGTAATATGGGGGTATACAAGTTCTGATATTGTTCAGTGTGATACTTGCTTCAAATTGAATTGGTGTTGTGGCATCTCATCTGTCACTGCTGATGCAGGTATCACAATATCGTTTTAAGACAGTTTTTCTAAGGTGTTGGTGGTATTAGCTGTTACTGAGTCTTAGTACAAATTAGTGAAAACGTTAAACTTTATATTTGGCTTTTTTTTTTAACTCTTCTATATTGCTACTAAATTTATGTTTGCTTTGCTTATATAGGCCTTGTTTAACACTCAAGTGCTTAAGTAGTTAATAGTCTGTTATGTATGGGGAAATGGACTTGTAGAAAATAGACTTCTTGCAGTTCTTATGTTCATGGTCAATTCTTCTGTCAGCATCCTCAAGACATACGGGTATGCAAGTTTAAATTTTCTTCTTTTTGAATTGTTTTCACCTTTTATCAGAAAATAATATTTACACTTCCTGTTATATAGGCAAATACAAGTACTGTTTTTGTTTGGGGTTTTCTTTGTGTTAGTTTTGTTTTTGCAGAGAGCGTTACCTTGACATGAAAGAGTTGCTAGAGGAAATGCGATTCTATGTGCTATGGCTGATATATCTATCTATCTGTCTATCTATCTATCTATCTGAGATATATCGGAGAGATTGCTGGCCAGTAATTTTTTTACTAAAAAGCTTTTTTCTACATGTTACTTTTATGAGGGATTGCACCTATTAGTATTTCACATTTCTTAGTAGAATGCTAGCAGCTCTGTTTTGATTTGTTCACTCTTCTGCATAACTGTGTAACTGAAAGAAAAAACACCAAACAGTGGAAAGTTATTTTAGGGATTACTTCCGCCTGCATAATTTCTGATGTTAGTAATTCTGAATACTCAATATCAAATTCTCAATATGTCATTGTAAGTTGTAGTTAATACTGACTACTTTTAATAGTGCCTGTATTAAGAAAAATTAAGAAAAAACTTTCCACAAATCTTCCTTTTTTTCTCTTTTCTCAGATCTTCTGCAGTGTGTTATGTATGTTTCTGTTTTTCCACTTTCAAACCATATACAGCTGAAAACTACTTCAGTTATTTTCTTGCATATGGGTAGGCAGCAGCCTTCCTGAGGATTACTGAAACTTGAGTATTCTTCCAGGATTTAAAGTACCAGTCTTGTTTAACAAGGCATGTTTATTTCAAAGAAACACCTCTGTGGTGTTAAAAGGGCTAGCTGAGGAGACTGTGGTCTTCTGCTGTTAGTGATCTTTAATGCGTTCAGAAAATATCAGCTCATCACCTCTGTGTAAGAAATACAGCATCATGTTATTAAAGTTAATAAACCAATGTCCATTTTGCTTTCTATAAGACAGGGAAAACTGTCCTACTAAAACTTGAGCATTATTTCATGGTGTTAAGTAGTTTATTAAGCCTGTAAGTAACTTTTACTGTAGAGGCAGTATTGAAATACTCGTGGTAACTATTTTCTGACTTCTTGTTTGGTTTAGGCATGGTGTTCTGGATTGTTATTAATGCTGTCTGCTTTATATATACAGGTGCTTTTTTTTTTTTTTTTTTGTAGAATTTGAGATTCCCAGGAAAAAAAACAACACAATAACAAAACAAAAACAACCCTTAGAATTTGAACCAAGTAATATGAGTGCTAAAAAATTTGTAAGGCAATTAAAAGTGCTAGTTATTACTTTGTAAAAAGTATCTAAACCATTATGAACCCTCTCTTTGAGATTAACGGTATTTTCAGTACTTCCCAAAAGCACACGTAACTTGCTGCCACGTTATTTTAGTGTGAGTGGAAGAAGAAAAAAAAGTGTCACTTGTGTCCTTTGATCCTTTCCCTTAGTTAGTGTTTCTCTGAAAACCATAAAATTCCTTGCATTCTTCTAACTGTATTTGGAAAAACAGATGGCATTTTTCTTGAGAGCTCTGTGGAAGGGGAAATAGGAATTAAAAGGAAGGAACTGAGGGATCCTGAGGCTGCTTTTCAAGATCATTTTAGTAAATAGGAACCATTGATATTTCAAACAGTTTAATTTTTTTTAATCATTTGCAGCATGGACAACACCAGCAGCATACTGCTTTGCAGGGGTTTCTTTTTCGATACTTGACTGCCAGCCCAAATTTTTCTTTTGACACTTGAGTGTACTCTTGAGTTTTGTTCATAATGATTTCGATGTTGTTGATCATCTCCCCTTGCTCCTCCACCAGAACTGATATCTGGATAAAAAGTTCCTTTAAGTCTTTGATCTGGTTCTCCAGATTGACTAGTTCTTTGTGTCTCTGTTCAATCTCTGAAAGCTGAGTTTTGGTAATTTTTGCTTCAGTGAGTAGGTTTTCATTGAAAACCTCCCATTTTCCTTGTTGGAACATGTCATTGACTTCTTCCTCAGATACCTCTTTACCAGCTACCTCAAGCTGACGGACAATAAATCTTCTGCATTTTTCTTGCTTAGCAGTTATAGCATCATTGTATGAGAGCATAGCATTTAGGTAACGCTGGGATAAGAAAGCATGCTGGTAAGCTAGAATTCTTACTGTGGCACGTGATGGCCCATGTTCATTTTCAGCTTTTTTCACTGTTTTTGACAGTTCATCCAAACTTTTTCTTATGTGCTCTGCTTGAATTTTTATTTCTCTTGCTATGTTAGATTCCTTTTTAAGAACACTGAATCTTCTCATTGAAGATAGTAGGCTTTTTTGTTGTTGACTGAATTTATTAACTTCCTCCACCAAATTATTAATTTCATTCTGAAGCTTCTGGATTTCATGCAAGTGCCTTTCAGTTATGGGCTCTTTTTCATAAATAATGGCCTGCTGTTCAAGCTCCTCCGGCTCTTCTTCTTGTACTGTTGCACTGTTGTTTTCTCCAGCTGTCTGCAGTTCCTTAGCTCTCAGTTTAAACTCTTGGAGGCGGTCTCTCATGGCTTTTGTGTTCAGGCTTTTTTTTCAGGTTTCTTTCCCCTCTTGCAACACAGAGAGTTAACTCCAGTCTCTTTTTCTTGTTTCACTGTAATCGAAGTGTAACAACAATCAATGTTAGTGGTTATATGCATACATGAAAAGCAGTTTTGGAGATTATTTTGAAGATTTTCTTCTCTCTGCTCAAAAATTAAGTAAAAGTAGCAAAGAATTGAAAGTGGTAGGTACTCTGAAGAAATGTACGAGATAGCTGGTGGTCACTGCACTCCACCATTTAATCCAGTTTCTGTTGGACTTAATCATAACCAACACTTTTAATTTATTTTTAGATGGGGACATTTAAGTCTTTCCCCCAGCTTCTTCACTCCACATACAGTAATTTGTAGCCCAAGCCCATCTTTGTGGTAGGTTTGTGGTATAGGGTCCAGTACTTACAACAATGTGGCATGTGGACAGGACTTCATTTTGAGGAGGAAGTGAGGACTAACTCAAATGCTTGTTTTATCGGAATTCCTTATTTTATGAAAACTAACCAACCTTTAATTTTTTTTGCTAGTAGAAGTGAATCTGCAACTCCATTTTTGGATTCTCAGTGGGTAAAAAACAGTTCAGTTTTTGAGGTTATGAGGTAGACTATCTAACAAAGCAGAGTTCTGGCATGAATAATTTAGTTTAGCCACACGGAAAAACCTTCCTCCATTTTCCTTGCATTTCCTGGCCTGGGGAGCTAAACTGATAGCAACTGAAGCAGTTAACTCTACAGCAAAACCAGAACTGTAATAATTTACCTTGCAATTTTCTTTTTCATGTTGTGAGTTTTCATAAAGTTGGATTCATATCACTAATGTTGCAGCTTGAAGATTTTGTTAGCTGTATTCTTACATTGTCATTTGCAGTGTTCATAAAAATTATGCAAATGTATCTTGTGTAGTATAGGGGGATAAAATTCAGTACCATTTCTTACTTAATTGAAAGTTGGTTTAATTCTTTTTTCTGCCCTAGCTGTTGTGCAAGCTTTACTTGCATTATAATTAAGAGAAAATTTCTGTTGTGTATGTTTTAGAAAATATTGAAGTTCAACTATTTTTGTGTATAGGAGAAAGTATTTTCCTCTAATTCTACATGAATGTTTTCTTGGAACATGATCAGCAAGGGAAAATTTCCATAAAAAATTAAATGTTAAGGACTACGAGATTATGGGATTTTTACTTGGAGTCTTCTGGTTAGGCCAATGTGTCTTTTTCAAAGGGCTGTTCAAACATAAATTTTAAACAGTACAGTAGTACCTTTTAGCTGTTTTCAGAGGTTTCACTCTGAAAGCACTCTCTGCAAAGAGTAGTATTTTATAGGAGCATTTATTCTTAAACTCTAATGCTGAAGATTTTTTATTTTTTTATTTTTAGTAAGCAAATGCAGTATTTCTCTGTAGTATCCAAAAGGGTCCATTTGTAATAACTGCAAAGAATCAGTCCAGTAACCTGTCAGTATGCAAATGATTTTTATATATTTGAACAGCGTCAAATGATACTGCTGTGGTACCTCTGCTCCCTTAAGCATATTTAAAGTACCTAAATTTTTGCATAATATAAGTCATGAAGTTGAACAGTGTGACCATGTTTTTCACAGACTTAAATCTGACTCTCTGAAGGAGGATTAGCTGAAAAACAAAACTTGAAATGCTAGAGAGATCAATAGTAAGGAAGAATGTTGATATTCCACCCTAGCGTGCATTTCCTTCATTGCCTTCTTTATCCCCCCTTAATGCCTTAGTATCTGAAGTTAGTGTTTACTGATTCACATCAAGAGAATCCAAAAAGCATAGCAGTCATTAGAAGTTCCAGTAATGTACTGAGACTTGTGATCAGACAAGCTTGCAAGTACTTTAACTGGAAAACATTATTTTGGGGTGGAGAAAATGCAACGTATTCATTTCATTACAGTAATTCCTCTTCATTGCCTAACTTGCTGTGTATCTCCTGGCAGCAGAAGTTGGGCAATTTCTTCCAGGTAACATTCTTCAGGAATGTTTCAAAGCTGCTTGGCACCACTGAGACTGCAGTGGGGAAAGTTCAGTCTGGGGCATGTGAAAGGAACCAGGAGTACTAAACAAGACTTCAGAGAAGTGACCTGAAAATCTCTTTTAGTATAGCCTAACACATCTGTTGACCCATGTTAATTTAACATAGCTTGACAAGCCTGTGATTAAAAGTTCTAAGGGCACTATTAATGCTTATGATGTGAGGTGGCAAGACTGTCTTGTATCTAAGAGAATGTGAGTAATTACTGAAAAGCTCTAAAACATGCATGCAGTCATCCAGTTACACCTTCAGAACACAGAACAATTTCTCAAAAGAGCACTTAGCAATTTTTCATATGATTAAACTGCTGTGGTTTGAAAATAACTTAAACACAGGAGCATAAGAGCTATACTGGTCTTCATCTTCTATTTGTGTATCCATTAACGATTCACATGTACTTTCCAATGTTTCAGGTGTGTTGGTCTTGAAATAGCTGTATTCCTTGGGGGGAGAGGGGAAAACAACATAATTACAAATCTGCAAATGCTCTCAAATATCAAACTTGAAAAGAAGTAAGCAGAAAATACTTAAGAGTGCTGCTAATAGATATATATTTTATTTTTTCTTGTTTAAACATCAGTCTCACTGAAGAGTGGAATGTAAGCAATTACACTCTGGTTTCGTATCTTGTATCTTACCAGGCTTTCCTTCAAAACCTGCCGCTGAATGTGCTTGACAATAAATGTGGTTGATTATACTGGTAACTTAAACGCATGCTGGTTTCAAATAAATAAGGGTATCTTCTTGACAAAGATAACCTTGAAAATGGTTGCCTTGGCTTTTTGAGTATTCCAAAACAAGGTTTGTTCACATACTGAGTCCTTGTCATTGTCCTACCTGTTTGTGTGTGTGTATAGGGGCATGTCCTGTTCTTTTGATTGAGATAAAAGATCTATTTCCTTGAAGTTTTTGTCAATAGAGGGAGAATATGCCTATTCTTTTAAAATTGAGTAAAAGGAATATGTGAGCTGAGCGTTCACCAGTGACTTAGTGTGTCCCTTATATTTAAAAAAAAAAATTAAAAAATTAAAAGATTATTCTTTTAAGGTGATAAGGTGGCACAGCCTAGCTCATCCTCATCAGACTTTTTTTTTTTTTTTTCATCGAAGGTTGGACAATTCGGGTTAAAGCTGCTAAGGAACTGCACTAAATGCTAACCAGATCAGTGGATGGAAAAGCATTCGTTTGTTAAACTCTAGCTTCAAATTACTGACTTTTTAGAAATCACCCTAAATGCTCTGAGACGTGTAAGTCTGAAAAGCATTTGTGAGGTTTGCCCATGTTTCTGGCCATCCCTCAGTCATAAATGCTGCTACATCATCTTCTATCTGAACTGTTACTGATGCTGAAAGTATATGTTTGAAGCCAAAATCACAAGCTGCTAGCCGGTCTTTAATAAAAGATAATCAGTAGAAAATAGTTTCTCTAATAGCTGCAGTAACTTAGTCCAAGTTCTCCACACTTTGAAGCACTGCAAGATTGAAAATGAAGCCTAAGAACTGACAGGGCTAGTGAATGGATTTGGGGAGGAGGTGGCAGGAGTAAGGAAAGGAAAAGAGGAAGAATCAGGCCCAGTTCTGAAGTTGTACTTGGAGTTCAAGGGTTACTGATGTGCTTTCATACAACCATTCGAGGAGGAAAAGAAGGAATGCTCATGCAGCATTTCAGTTTAGTTACTGGCATACCTTATCTTGTAGAAAGGCTTCCTTACCACCTCCCCCTGCATTTTTTTTTTTCATGCAGATCCAATAGTGATTAAGTTTGTATTTGTTCTTTGTTCTTCTAGTAGATATCATTATATATTGTTGGCAGGTTCAGGAACACAATTTTTATATTCTCATCAAACTGTATTGCAAGAGTATTTGCCTTCTGATATGTTACTGTGTTGCTCATCAGGGTTATGAATGCCTCTAGTGAAACTTATGACGTGGCTGGGAAAGCCTTTATTATGACAATTACCTCAGCACACTGACTAGGGGAATAATAGATTCTGATGATGGGAACCACCATTATTTATCTGTCATGATGATAAAATATGCCCTAAATTAGAATAATAGTAATTTTATGGAAATGAAAGTTTTTGAACTATCATCTCCATTTTTTTATGGAGAAGGAAAAAAAAAGTTGAAACATCTTTTTGCTTAATTGTAAAGCAGATATACAGAATAATTTTCCACCTGTCTAATTTATCAGTAGACTCACTAAACAGGGACCCTGCATAAAAAAAATGAGATTTGGGCTCGTTAAGTTAAAAGGCATAAATAGATACATGAAAAAAGTGATTTGATCACGTGGAACTCTTGCTACTGGTTGCAATTAGATTTAAGGCCTTTTTTTGGCTTTGATTAATTGTTTTGTTTCCTCCCCACCCCTTGACTTACAAAAGCTCCTGTTTATTTTGATTTCCGTAGTTTTGTTCCATTATTTCTTGTTTATTAAGCACCTTCATTAAAATGCCTGACACTAAAAGCCCTGTTTGTATTTGATGCAATTTGCATGCCACCTTAGTTTAATTTAACATACTGTGGCCCATCAGAAGAGGACTTGCAGAAAATGAAGGAGCAGAATTGTCACTATAAGGGCCCTTTGAAATGTATCATATCTATTCTGCATCATATTCCTCTTCTTACTGGCTGTTGAAATAGCTACTTTTTTTTTTTCTTTTTTTCAAGATTGCAAGAAAAATAAGTGTCTTGTTTATTTTCCTGTTCCTTAGTTATGAGTTTTTTAAGAGCACTGGGTAGGGAACAATTTCAGGCAAAGTGTCCCTAAGGAATTTCCGGCTACAGGTAATCTATTACTACTACTACTAATGTTAGCATTAATATTATTATGAATATAATTATTAAATTCATTTCTAGGCTCCCATGAAGTTGCATTGTAACTCTGTTAATATGGTACCAACAAACCAGTGTCACTTATTTTTTAACACAATAGCTCTGAGTAATGTTTGGAGTCATACTCTAGTCTGGAACTAGATTCCTACTTGAAGTGTCTTAACAC